GGAGGAAGGACGTAGGGCAGGAGGGGAGGCAGGAAGCAGCGGGGAGAGAAGGAGAAAGAAGGGCAGGAGTCCAGTGGGGACGCGAACATTTCCTATCTGGTGATGTCACATGACTCCAACTCACAGAGATTGGGAAATATCCAGATAATATTTCCTGTCTGTGCCCAGTACAGCCTTGCCTGGCGGGGGAAGTGGCCACACGTGGGCAGTTGCGTGGAAGGGTGGCCCTCGCTAACCCCCGAGGACCGTCTGCAGATGAGAACCGTCCTGTCCCGGGATGTCCGAGATGCTGGCCTCGCTGAGGACCCCCGGGCTGGTCCGGCGTGGTCCCAGCCCCGCTCGCTCTGTCCCTCAGGCATCCCGGAGATCAGATGGGGTCCCCAGCTGTGGGTGCGCTGCCAGAGCGCCGCGATGGGGGCCACGGAGGCAGCAGACCACCCCCCACGCCCGCCCGCCCAGGGTGGCCAGGGCAGCACCTCGTTGTTGCCAGAACTGTCTGGGCTCCTCCCCTGCCCCTCCCGCAGGCGGCCTCCTGATTCCTAACTTAATTTATTTTGACATCCTCGCTGCCGTTTGACCTCCTTACGGAGTCACGTGGTGCTTAAAACTCATTATCCCCCCATTCCAACAGGAAGTTAATTAAACCCTTCACAGAGCCAGTGTTGATGAATGTCAGGACGGGCCTCCGGCGGATCAGTGTGGGGGTGGGGGGTGGGGAAGCGAGGCCGGGCCCTGGCAGGGGCCACAGACAGAACCTGGGTCCCCCTTCCTCCAACACGGCCACCAGCGTCCATTCTGGAACAGAGCGTGTGGATTCCCCAAGGGTGACCTGGCTCGGCCACTCACCTGTTACATGGCCTTGGGCAACTGGCTTACTTCACTCCTCTGAGCCTCAGTTTACTCTTCCGGCAAGTGGGAATTCTAACAGCCCCTTCTTCAGAACACCGTTATGAGCAGGCAGTGCGCTGAACTGTTTGTGCTCATCACAGCCCCGCACCAGGGAAGCCCGCGGCACGGGGTGGGCGTAAGGCGATGGCGCTCTGGGGGACAGAAGAGACCGTGGGCCCTGCGAGCTGGAGCAGAGACGAGAGCCCGATCTTGTCTGGGAGCAGGGAGGGGCTTCCCTGGGGAAGGGTGCACCCGGCAGCAGGAACAGCTTGTGCAAGGGCCCTGTGGCCACAGGACATGGGAAGAGGTTCAGAGGAGAAGGTCGAATGGGGCAGGGCTGAGCCCGAGGCTATCACTAATGGCTTCTGGGAAGGTCCCACTGGCTTCAGTCTGCAGCAAGGGCAGCAGTGGCCATGGGGGACCAGCAGGGTGGGCAGTGGCAGGGGGATGGGCATAGGGGCTTGGAGCGGGGTGGGGTGGCGGCACTGTATCACGGCTACAAGCAGGTGAAGTCCCCGACACGGGGAGGGCAGGGTCTCAGAAAGAAGGCCCTTCACCTGGCCTGGCCTCCGGACGCACTCCCCCGTCAGCTCGGCCCCAGCCTTCCCCCAGCCTCTGCACCTGCTCTTCCCTTGCCCTCCACTCTTTCATGAGCATCCTCTTCATCCTTCAAGGGCCACCTTAAGTTTCCAGAATATTCTGACTGCCTTAGTCATAGCCCAGAAACCAGTACAGGGCCTGGCACATGGGAGCCCCTCCCCCCCCACCCCCCACAACTGCCCAGCCTCGGGCAGCCCTCCTTGGGGGGCGGGGCAGCACAGCACATGCCCACAGCCAGCCATCCCACAGGTCAGAGGGCAGAGGTGGACCAGGACATCAAGACCAGAGGAGCCCTGAGGGGTCACGCCCCCACCCCCACTTACATACGAGGAAACCAAAGACCAGATTGGTTAAGGACCTGGTCAGGGTCGCACCCTCCAAAATGGCAGAGCCAGGATTTGGACCCAGGTCTCCCTGCTCCCAGGCCAGGCTTCAGCACACAGGCGCTGGAATTCGGCTGCCTGGGGTTACATCCCAGCTTTACCTCGTCTGAGCTATAGGACCACTCTGAGCCTCAGTGTCTTCATCACCACCACCACAGCCCTCCAGGTACTTAAAAGCAAGTCTTACATGTCGCAGGCCCAGCTCAGCCATTTTCTGCGGGGGTGACTCTGACGTCCTAACCACCGGAGCAGGGCACAAGGACGTCGTGAGAAAATAGGAACCAGCCCAAAGGAAGGGCTCACAAAGGTGGAGGGCACAACGATGATGACATCGTCCCTAGAGCCAGCACCCCGGTCAAAGCTATGCCCAGGAGGCCTCCGGGGAGCTTTGCAACCCCAGTGGGCAGCTGCCCGAAGTCACATCCAGGGAGCAAGGAACAGCCAGGCTGCGGTTGGGCAGCCCAGCTCCACGTCGGGTACTGACAGCCCTGCACGCGGGCTGAACGCAGTTCTGTTTTCTCCACCAGGGGCTTTTGGACGGGAGCCCTGGCGCTCCTGGCAGACATGCAGGGGCAGGCGGAAACGGGTGCACAATGGGCAGCCCGTGGGGAATGGAGGTGGACACTCTCAGCCACCCCACACGCTGCTTCTCCTCTGCCACCTGATCAGGGGCCCCTGCAAAGCTGCATTCGCATGTCACCTTCTCCAGGCAGCCTACCCTGAACTCCCCGGGCAGAGGTGGTTGCTCGAACTCTGGGCTCACACAGGCCTTCCTCTGGACAGTGTTTCTTGCTCCTCGTTCCTGAGTAGGTGCTCATCATCAACAGACCCCCCCCCCCCCCACCGAGGGGCAGCATCGCCACTGGTCCTAAGCAGGCTGTGGTTTCCTCTTCTGGGGCCATGGGGTACCCCCCCACACACACCCGACAGGGCAGATAGAAGGGGCAAAGTTCAGGAGGAAAGTGCTCCAGAAACAGCGCTGTCCTGGGTCAGGACTGTCCCGGCACTTCAGGGCTGTGTGACCCATGCAGGTGCGTGGGGCCCCACGCTTGGGAAGGCCCCGCGCTTGGTTTAATGCACTATTTGGCTGCCCTGAAATTCTTAATTTTTAAACAAGAAGCTCTACGTTTTCGTTTTGCCCTCAGCCCCCCAAATGGTCCTCGGTCCTAGTCAGCAGACTCTGTTCCTGACCCACCCCTGCCTCTAAGGCACTGGAGAGCTGGACGTGTCCTTCCCTCGGGGCCTCAGGTTTGTAAACTGTGTATGGGAAACAAGCAGCCGAAGTGACTCCTTCTTCTGCAGCCGAGACGGCACCGCTGATGGGGCACGGCTCTTGCTCTCCTGCCGACCCTCCGCAGCCTGCTCAGCGCAGGTCCCCAGCCATCTCAGCAGCACCCGCCCGGATGCCACCGGGCCTCACAGCCCCCTCCTCTAGGACTCCTCCCCCCTCCCAGGTCCCCATCCTGTAATGAGGCCCTGCTTTGGGAGTGACAACAAGGCCCAGTGGAAAGCCCAGACAGGTGGGGGGCCTCATTCAGTTGACAAATACTGTGGGTATTTGTCTCTGGGCTGAGGGAACCAGCCAACCATGGCCCCCACTGTCCCCAGAGAGGGGTGCTGGAGGAAGGCTGCCCCCACTGGCCCTGGGCAAGGAGCAGGAAGTGCTGGTGAGCCATGTGACCCTGGGCCAGTATCTTGGCCCCCTGGCCTCAGGGTTCCCATCTGTCCAGTGGTGGATAGGTGGACCTGGGTGGACCTCAGACTCCCGCCCTGCCTGCCACTGCCCTGCCCAGAGGCCCCTTGAGAGCAGCGGTGGTGCAGGGGAGAGTGCCCAGGCTCCAGGGGTAATCCTTCTCCTCCTCCCTGGGGTGGGGGCTTAGCTAGCAAGGGTCACATGGAGGGGGGATGTCTCGTAGGCAAAGTGCACAGAACACAGCCAGACTCTGAAGGTGACAGTTGTGATGATTATCTGCTGTCAGGTGGGTGGGCCAGCCGTCCGGATGGGCCACCCAGGTGTCTTTGCAAAGGTCGTCTGCTTAGCCCCTGGGCTGCACTCACCCCCTATTTCTTCTGAATATGGGACAGAGGGAGCAGGTACCAACCAAATGCAGGCCAAGAATATTAAAAGAATACAATTCAACTTGGGGGCACAGCTCCTAATGCTGTGTGACTTGAGCTGCCCTGGAAAATGGGGGGCCTCTGGGATCCTATGAACATATCCCAAAAGACAGGAGAGACAGTGTCCGTTTCCAGGGCTAGAACAGACAGTACTGACCCTGTTCCAGGCCGGGAGGGGACGCGGGTGTCCGCTCAGCCCATGGAGGGGCCTCCTCCCCGGGCCTCCAGCAGGGGCAACTGGGGAGTCAGGGCCCGCCGAGGGGGCAATGCCCGGGGGGGGGGGGGGGGGGAGCTGCGGCAGGGGCAGCAGGGAGAGGATGCTGGCTTCCGCACCCTCCCCGACTTCCAGCCAGACCGGAGCCCAAGGGAGGAGGGCCAGAGGTCCCTGCTCTCCATTTGGGGGTCGCAGCCGCCGGAGGCGGCGGACCCCGGGAATGCTGCTTCCACCTCGGTCTCGGACGGAAGTCCCCACCCGGCCACAGCCCTGCACACCCCAAATCTGACCCAAGACACTGCGGGGCATCAAGGCCTCGGGCTTCCTGACCCGGCCCTTACTGCCCGCGTCCCTCAGGCGGAGGGGGCTGTCGTGGAGTGCAGGGGCCCTGGGCGGGGCCGAGGGCCTGGGGGCGGAGCCACGAGAAGCCTGGGGCGGGGCGAGGGGGTGAGCCGAGCCATGCGGTGTCAGGCTTGGGGGCGGAGCTAGCGCCGAGGGGGCGGGTCCAGAGCGGCCGCGGGGCGGCGGGACAGAATAGGTCGTTGAATCAGAGCTAGGCCTGGGGACAAAGCTGCGGGACCGAAGGAGGAGTCGAGGAAGCCAGAGGTCCACCCAGGGCCGGGGGCGGGGCCAGCGCCACGCAGGCCGGGGGCGGGGCCGGGGCGGGGCCAGGGCTGCTGGGAACCGGGATCCGCCCGGGGGCGGGGCCAGCGCGGCGGCGGGGCGGGGCCAGCGCGCCGGGGGCGGGCCGGAGGCGCGGCGCCGGGGACGCGCAGGCCCCGCCCCCGCCGCGCCGGCCCGCCCGCCCGCCGGGAGCGCCCTGGCCGAGGCCGCCCGGTTCGGCGCGCGCTGCTCGCAGGTTCCATTGAGAAAAGCCGAGCGGCGGCGGCGTCTGCGCGGGAGCCGAGGAGCCGGCAGCAGCCCGCCGCCCGCCGCCCCCGGCGGTCGGCGCGCCCGCAGCGCAGGGCCTTGCCTCCGGCCTCCGCAGCGGCTCCGGGCCGGGCGCGGCGGGCTGGGGCGCGGGCCGGGGCGGCCGCGGAGCCCGGGGGCCGGGGGCATGAGCCGCCCCGCGGCCCCGCCGCGCCCCCGCCGCCCGCCGCCGCCCTCCAGGGGCTAGAGGCGGCCGCCGGGAGGGCGCGCGGCGCCGGAGACATGTCCAGGAGGAAACAGAGCAACCCCCGGCAGATCAAGCGTGAGTCAAACTTTGCCCGCTCGCCCGACCCTCGTCGGCCCCCGCTGGCCCGGCCCCACACGGCCGGCCGGCTGCGCTCGCGGCGCCCGCGACCTTCACCCCGCGCCGCGCCCCCCGCGCTGTGCGCCAAGCGCGCAGTAATCTAATCTCCGCGGCCGGCCGGGCCCCCGCGTCTCGGCTCCGGCACCGGGGGTCCGGCCCGGAGGGGTGTCCGCCCAGGGGGCCGGGAGCGGGGCGGCCGGGGGCGCGGCCACCTTGCGTCCCGCCCCTCCCCCGCATCCCCGAGATGGTGCTGCGATAAGGCGGCCCCGATCTGGGCTCAGATAAAGTTTAAAATATTCCATTCTGCAAGTCCCATCCTGATAAGATCGCTCTGTCGGGACGGGCTGAAATTGTGATCTTATCTCGCCGCGCGGTTGACTCTCTCAGGCTTTGTATCTAGAGGGAGAAACAGAGAGAGACCTGGGAGGGAGAGGGGGCACCCGGGCCGCGTGGAAATGCATGACCGAGTGGCGGGGACCGGCCGGCGCCCACCACCTCTCCTGCTGGCCCAGTCGCCGCCTGGCTGGGGGGTGGGGGCGCGGGCGGCCACCGCAGCCCGTGCGCTCGGCTCCAGCCGCTCAGATCCGCGCGCCCTGTCGCTGGGGTCTCAAACTCGAGCCTTCCCTGCCTGGGGACAGCCTCCTGGAGGCCCGACCTTACTCTCTGTCCCGGCCAAGGCCGCACGTGTAGCAGGCAGGCACCCCCCACCCCCTTATCCGAGGGGCTACTCCGAGTCAGGGGAGAGGGGCTTCCGGGGACTCGGCGCCAGGTCACGGTCGCCTCTGCGCGTGTCCCAAGTTTCTCGCCTATTCCGGCCCGCGGGCCACTCCCCAGGGGACCGCGCGGCCGCTGAGTTCATACTGCCAATGCCCGGTGATAAAAGCGCCGCGCACTCTGGGCCGCTCGGCTGCGCGGGGAGCGAGAGAGCGCGCGTACAGGAAGCGCCGCTCCCCACCCCACACCAGTAACTTCGCGCCTCTCAGCCAGGGCCTGAGTACGGGGTTTCCTCCGGGGGTCGCCTCTGCCAGGCAGGATGGGAAGCGAAGAGCGGAGGCCTCCAGCCCTCCGCCAGCCCCAGGCACCCGGGCTGGCCACACGACCACTGCCACCAGGATCCCGTGTGCACGCGCCTGGGGGGGAGTGTCTACCCCCGAGGTCCTGGACAGGGGGAACGCAAGCATGAATCTGGGTTCCGGTAACCCACTCCCCCAGTGTGCAAGCAGGACCTGTTTTCCGAAAGTCGCCTTTATCAAGTCAACTTAAGTATTAAAACCACCCACAGGTCCCGATCTGCGCTCGTTCTCTGGTTTCTTTTTCCCCTCCTCCCCCGTGCGCCTCTGTTCGGTCTGTTCTCGTGTGTGCGTGTGTATGTGTTTCAGCGTGATGAGAAATAGAGATAGCGCGGGCAGGGAGATCTCAGGCTGGGAACCCATCGACAGCGCCGATAAGGCGTCGAGCAGGGCGAGCGCCCTGGCCCAGAAGGGTCGGCGGAGCGGTGCTCCTTGGGGACAGGGACCACGTAGGGCACGCAGACGAGCCCCCGCTGCTGACCCTCGCCCGGCCAGGATCCGGGCAGGGGCCGGGGCGCGGCAGGCGGCACCGCGCACCCTCCCTGCCCCCCCCCCACCCCCGGCGCCGCCTCCTCCCTCTGGCAGATCTTGGCGCGTTAAGATGCGAACTCTGATTGTCACCAAGCGGCGGCGCCCGCCCGCCCTCCCTCTGCCCGCGGCGCTGCGTGCGGCCCTCGCAGCTGTGCGCCCGCCGCGCTAGCCTCACCTGCGACCAGGCCGCGGGCGTGGAGGGGAGGGGGCCGGGCGCTTGGGGCCACCGCCCCCTGCGCCCTCACCCGAGCCGGGGCGCAGCTGCCCGCGCCTCTGTGCGCCTTTTGTTCCACGCAGAGATAGATGTGCCGTGCTGATAAGGCGCGCAACCGATGGTGGAGGCGATAGGCGCTTCCATTTATTAACTTCAAACGTGGGAGCGGGGGAGGGCGAGGCAGGAGCGCGGCCTTGGCCGGCCAGATGGCCGAGCCGATAGGCCGGGCCGAGCTGGCTGGGAGCGCGGGGCAGAGCCCAGCTCGGGACCCCCGGCCATCCGAGCTTTCCTCCCGCCCGGGTCGATGTGAGCTGCGATAAGCGCAGGGCCAGTCGGCCGGATGGCGATCGCCAAGAGCGATAAGAGGCCTTATCTATGGCCACCAGACCCGCCCGGTTAGAAGCAACAACAGCGCGGGGGAGTCGTGGCTGGGGGAGTGGGGGCCTCGGACCCGGGCCAGGGCGGGGGCAGGGGGAGCGGGCCTCTGCGCCCGGTCGTCTAGGCGAGTTTTCTTCCCAAACATACTTAACTGCCAAGAAGTTGATCCTCCCCTGCGGGTGGTACAGTCCGTCAAAATGAAAGGAAAGTGACTCGGCGCTGGCCCAGAGCTCCGGGGCGAGGGGAGGGGACACCCGTCCCATTCCTACGAGATGGTGTGAGATAGCCCGAGGTGGGGTTTGTCACCTTCAGGAGAGAGCGTGTTTTCCCCCTTGAATGGTGCTGGGGTTGGTGTGCGTTCCTGGCAAGTTTTAGGTGTAGGCCGCTTAGAGTTTTGTTGAAAAAAATCAAGGTGGTTTCCGTTTCCAGGGCTGAGTTTGGGGGGAGAGGGAGGAAGCCAGGGTGCTGATGGTCTTTCCAAGCAGGTCCCCCAGATCAGGATGGAAGACCTGCCTTGATTCACTCAGCAAGTCTTTACTGAGCACTTGCTGTATGCATGCCCTGGGTCCCAGCCCTGTCTTAGGTGGGGGGTAATAGGTGGAAGTCCAGTCAGGGACACGTCCCAGAACGGGGTACCTGCATCGAGGTCAGCAGTAGGCCCGCCGTGGAGGTACCTCCAGGGACAATGGGCCAGCCTCAGTTTCCAACTCTGAAAAATGGGATGATGATTCCTGGCGGTTGTCGGGGGTGTGAAGGGCTCAGAGGCAAGGGAGGCTAGGGAAGGGATGCCTGTGGGAGGTGAGGAGGGTGGGCCAGGCTGACGGGAATCAGCCCCCAGGTCAGACTGGTGATGTCAAGGGGGCCACTTGGCAGGGGGAAGCCCCTCAGGGACCATGGGCCTAGATACCTAGTGGAAACCCAGGCCAGCTGGGTGGGGGCTTCCAGCAGAAGCTGGGGACTTGCCCCGCCCATCCCCCTCCAGCAGCCACTCCATCTTTTGGGAGGATGTTGTTCACACATTCTCCCAGTTTGATCAAACAAATTATTGGTGGCCACAGGGTGACTAATTCACTCCGTGCTTCAGACTCAGCCTGTGCTCTCTCCGGCGGTTCAGCACCCGCCTGTGGCACTGCCAGGGCTTTCTAGAAGGTGAGGGCCAGTGCGCGAGACCCGGCTGAGGCCCAGGACGGGGAGGAGGTTTTCAGGAACGTAAGAGGGATTGTCTGCGCAGAGCAGAGCCGGCCACAGTCTCCTGCCAAGTACGGGAGGCACGTGGGAGCTGGCATGGCCCCCCGGGGCCCCCTCACCGTGCCGTACCTCACTGGGATGGCAGAGGGTGAAGAGAGAGGGGGATCTGGCCACCTGGCTGATCCTGGTGCCGAGCCACCATGGGCATTTCACTTGCCTTCCACGGCCTCAGTTTCCCCTCTGTGAAAGACAGGTGTGACAGTGCTTGCTATCCCAGGGTCAGCAGGGACGCAAGTCCTGTCCTCCTCTGCTGGCCTTGCCCCCGCCTCAGAGCCCTGGGAACATGGGGACCGATCTGTGGTGAGCCCAGGGGATGAAGGGCTGAGAGGCCAGGAGGGCCTTCCTCACGGGCTCCCAGCTCTGAACCTGGACTTGAATGGGCCAGGTGGACCCTGGAGCCCAGCTGTCACCCCTGAGGTTGGCTTCCACCCTGGCTCTAGATGGTTCTTGGTTTTCCTGCACTCCTGGGCCTCAGGAAAAACAAGCAGCTCATTCATGCACTGGACAGTAATAATATTAACAATAGCTAATACTTACAGAGATTACTCTGTGCCAGGCCACATACTAACTTAAAATAGGTCCTATTCTTATCACCTTTACATCTGGGGAAACTGAGCACAGATTGCTTAAGTTTCTCCCCCAAAGAAGTGGCAGAGCCAGAGGTGGAACGCAGGCAGCCCGGCCCCGCGCCCTGAACCAGCCAGCCTGTGAGCATCACTCTGCCTTCCTCTTGTCTCCCGCCCCCAGGCTTATCTGCCTTCAGTCTCCACATCTGTGAAATGGGCCTTTGGGAGCGGAGATGCTGTAGGGTCCTTCTCCAGCCCAGCCCTTGCCGAGTCTCCCAGAGCCTCCTTGCTGAGGCACTGCTGCGCAGGGGTGCTCCCTGGGGAGACTGAAGCCAGCCCTGCCCGGGGACCTGAGCCCTGGCCGAGCCCTGCCTGCCCAGCCAGCCCCTCCCTGGAGGTCACTGGGAGCCCAGCATGGCACCAGACCCGCCAGGGATTTAAATGGGTCAGTTGGGGAAGAAAGGAGGAGGGAATGTGATGCCATTAATTGTACCCCTTATCTCCTGTTTCTATGCCAACCAGACGTTCCTGGGGCTTGACGGACTCGTGAATAATACTCCCAGCCGGCCTATCTGCCATCGACGGGCCTCCTCCTGGAGGCAGCTGTTGCCCGCTGATTGGTATCGCCAAGCCCAGGGACCTCGGGCGCCTGGCTGGGCTCCTGCCCACCCAGCCACCATACCCCTGGAGATGCCCCAGGGTCCCTGTTCCCATTTCACAGAGGGGGAAACTGAGGCCACAGCCACGTGTTTACTCTCTGGGTCTTGTCTACTGCGCCCCGCTCAGCAGGAGTGGCCTGGGGTGAAGGGGGATCCAGAAGTGGGCGCAGTAACACCTGCAGAGGGAGTTGGTCTCCACATGTACCTCCTGGCCCCCTGTGGGCCTCAGTGTCCTCAGCAGTGGCAGGAGGAGACAGATGCCCATAGGTGAGGGCTCGGCTACCGTGAAGTT